TACATTTGTTAGGAAACCACCATCACAATTAGTAACAGTCTGACACGGTATTCGTTCAATGTCTATGGGAATGTCAAATCGACTTGAACATGGTTATTCATATCATTGGAAACTCGAATAAGCAATGATTATTTTTGGTGAAGTCAGCAATAGGGTATTTTTATGTTTTTAATGGGCCTTCAAAAGCTCCTAGTTATGATTTGTCACTCTAAAGGATGTTAGTCAATATCGACGTCTAGTAGTTATTCAGAAAAAGAGCGAGGATGTTTTTCATTAACACTGTCTTTAAACAGCATATAATTTTCCAGTATGCAACAATCAGCAACCTTAACCATTATTAAAGTCCCTCATTAGTGGCCGAAATATGCTCTGAGAGCCATACACTTCGAACTGCAGACATTTCTCTCTAGTAGTAACTTCTGGGAAATGAATCTCGGCACATCACTTATATACCATCATGTGAGTAGTATCCACCACGATTGGCTTCAGACTGGCATTCCTGTGACTAATGTAGGAATGTCTATTTGGTAAAACAGCAAGAAACAGGCAAATGAGTCGCTAAGGTCACCTGAAATATCTCTAGCATCAGTTACATCAGTTATTTACAATATGGAGAATAATAATCAAGAAATTATAACGCTAGTGAGAACAATAAAGTCTAAGAACTATGTAAATAATTAAATAAGTTAATTAATAGGTAGTAAAAATTGTGTGAGGGGGAATAAGTGTAAGTAATGAAGAGGAGACAGAGACAATAATCGAGATAGAACAATTTAGTGAACTGAGGGAACGATAATGACAACAACAGGCAAGTTTCAGGACATGCGACAGACACAGCTGGTATGAGAACGAGATGGAAATCCGTATAAGAATACTTGTTTGTCAAGTCTCTTCCTGAAGCTACCCAAGGATCGGGTTGTGGTCACTTCGACTGGCAGAAGATTCCAAGTTACCAGAACTCCTAATGAGGAATAGTGTAAAAGAACCTGGGTGTACGCTCTCGTATGAGAGATTCTTATTGCGTTGTCTCGAGAGGCGCGGTTGCAATCTTCTGGGAGAATGCTTGTGTTGGGGTGATTTGGCGTAGTTAATATGCTCTATATCATTGTCGTTTCACTTCTGAATCGCCTGTAATTCAGAGGCAGCAATCTCAAGCGTTGGAGTCTGTCTTTGTAAGGTTTAATCTTCAACCGTGAGACCCATTCAGTTTCTCGTCTCTGTACTTGATTCCAGAAGTTTATGCCGCCTTTAAGGAGAGGGATGAGACGACATTATCTACTTCAAAGTATGGTCTTGCGTTTATTTTAAGGAGATTTAAGAATAGTTGTGGGATAATTGTACTACCTCGTCTTCGTATAAAGTAAGGAGTTACGTTGGCCTTAGCCGCATCCCCTATGAAGGGGTATTCAGTCTGTTTGTAGCATGAATACCAAGAACGCACTCTGAGGAGATATTAGGGACTGAGGGTCCATTTAAGATGTAAGTTTTCTGTGTCATATGGGTCATAATTTCCATGACGTGACATTTCGATGGGTTTAGTTTAAGTCTACTACTCATTCCTAAATCGCTTTACGGCCCTCAGAGAAACTCCTGATATATTCACCCGCAAGCTAACATGCACTTTACTTACCTTGTAAAGGAACTAACTGTTCTTAAGGTAGTTTGTAAGCCAAGACAGAACTGGGTCAGTGAAGTTCATTCTCGCAACCTTTGCAGTTAGAAGTACGTGAGGTATTGTGTCGAAACCTTGATCAAAGTAAACGAATATTGTATGAATATCACATGCATTCTGACCATTGAGAAGATGATATAGTTTGGACAGGGTACTGCTCATTTGTCCCACTGTTCTTTATCAAAAACAACCCTATTATCCAGTAAGCTGCTCTCCGACAATCGGACATTAGATAAAATTAGCGAATGTTTTCTAATGTCCGGGTCTCAGATTTGTGACATTTGGAGCTATACCGCTGCCGTTTCCCTTCCTTACGCTTATCCACTGCTCTGTACTGCTAAAAGATACTGGGATATTTACCACAACTGATGATTTCATTGAAGTTTTGATTCAGGTTGAGGCTACCCTTGTGGCCTGTTTGACCGATGTTTAGGTGAGCGAATCAGGTTTACTAGAGGAGATAGATTGGTTAATTTTAAATAAGGTCATCTACTTCTCTGCTGTTAATTTTGTTGGTTCAGTGATTCTGCACCGAGGACGAACGTACCAGAACCACGGACAGAGGTGATTCAGTAACCAATAATACTGTCGCTATACTGCGGTATCACAATCACATGAACCCGTGCACTTGTAGAAGTCACATTCAAATGCAGGTTTGCCGGTTTGCCGGTTTTGACTGGCTACGAGCATGAAATACAAGTATCGTTGTGTTCTTTCCGGACAGTAGGCTGCGTCAGTCGAGTTTTACGATGCCTTTTTCTCCTGTTCCTATTTTGCCTTCTTGTCTTACCAGGAGTAGAAATCTGTGAGTGTCTTTCTGGCTTATTTGTTGGAGACCCAGTAGAAGTGTTTGGGTTATACACACGATTCCGTGTCTTCAAACTGTTGTATTCCAACTCTCCATGCTACATTACTATCTAATATTGTCTCGATGTTATACCAACAGTCTACCAGCCGCAACTATCCGATTAGAATGTGCGTGGTACTTATGGTAACAGTGTTTTCTAATGAGGTGTGGAAAATGGACTTTGGATTAAAACGCAGTTTCAGCTTTACGTTTCTCGGTTAACTTTCTGGAATAAATAAATACTTATGACTCTGTACTCACCTCCGTTATTTCCATTCTGAGAGGCTTGTTTTATCTAAGCATGCCATAGATATTCAGAGTTGAGCAACTCTTTTGTTATAACAACTTTCAGATCGAGAACACCCGAACCGGATCAAACCAGGGGTTGCTAGTGAAGAGAATGGGAAGTATATTTGGAGGATGGTCGGGATGTCGGACGGGGAGTGAACTAAGCTTGCTAGATGGTGCGAGGAAATGTGTAGCATGACAAACCCAACGGTGATCTAGGGGAAGGGTGACAATAAACTTGAGGAGATCAATATCAATGTCGGAGATTCAAAGAAATATTTATTTCGGGGATTTACTGACCGCTATAGCTCACTACACACGTATCGGGGTACTGATTATTCTAACACGTTGCCAGTCATTAGTGTAAACCCAAAGTGCATGTCGTTGGTAAACACTCTTCTGATAGCTTGCTTCATTCAGCAGCGTTTGGCCGTATATTCCTACTCTAAGGAGCAGTGGTACATATTAACAATGTGTAAACAGTGCACAACGACATGATTAGTATTTCATGTACATTTTCAGCCTTTCGTCTTTTCCAGTCGTCCTGGGAAAGAGAAAATGATAATGTAAGTACATATCGATATACACTGATAGTTATCTAAGCAAGCGAAAAAGCTGGTATATATTCTTTTGTATATCGGCGACGGAGAAGAATATTACACACAAAAATGTTTTTGATTATAAAAGGTTATACACATATCTGCAAGCATTTTGAAAAAACTTCAATGTGTTTCATTTCTTATATATATATATATATATATATATATATATATATATATATATATTTGAAGATATAAAATATTTGCTTCAGATCTTTAGGGAGCCTCATAGATGTAGAGCTCGTCGTCTTGGACCTTTTGCCAGATATCAACAAAGTTTCGTTGCGGCCGTTACTTATCGGAGGTTATGCTTAATCGTGGAATTTGTATCGTTCGTGTGTATGTTGAAAGATTCGACTGAGAACAGGCTTCCTTCTGAGTCGGTGGCTTTTAGCTGATCAATGCTGATGTTGTCAAGACAAACTCAACTTGGTGTAATCAGCCCAGAAATATTCTTAACTCTGAAACATACCCACAACCCCACCTCCAAGTTCACAATATCGTCAAACTCTCTCTATTTAAGAGTGACATAAATCTCTTGAACTGAGTGCAGAGACGAGCATTTGAATGGGTGATAAGTTTAAAGAATTAACCTTACGAAAAATAGAAGATCATTTATTAATTCAGTTGAATATTTTATCCACAAGTCTTTAGAGTTGCTCAATTAAAAGTATTGATCTCAGAACTTTCAGCTATTGATAGATAACACGAATATGTTTTTTGTCAGTTGGATTACGTGTTATTTGTCACCCATCAGCACGATGTGTTTGTAATATCAAGGAAATTAATTCATGTTGTAGAATTGAAATCCTTATCATTCGGCTTGATAGTGAGAGACATGATAGTTTTTATTCAATGAATTATTCATTTTGTGACTCATAAAATCGAAAAGCAAATCAGGGAGTATATAATTGGGAACAAGAGTTAGAGATGAAAGACGAGATAATTGATACAGGAACATACGAGAAATGGGAGTTTCGGAAGGAGGAATTTAGTAGTATATAAATACTGCTACTAAAGAACGGAACCTGAAAGTACTCCATAATCGCATCTTCACCTCCTCGTTTGCAACTTTGCGTGGATCCAGTAACTGCCGCAAATCGTGTTTGCAAGTGGTTCTGACTTCAGTGACTCTATCTGTCCGAATTAGTCCTCAGATTATCAACCAGTGAATGCAGACAACTTTTATATCTTCCGAAGTTATTAAATAACCTATCTGGCGTCCAAAACTGTATTGTTTCCTGTAAATGGAGGGAAGTCAAAGAGGCCACGTCAATTTTGATAAACAAGTATTCACATATGGATTTCCACCACGTTCTCATATCAGCTGTGCCTGTATCATGCCCCGAAACCTGCTTGTTGTTGTCATTATCGTTTACTCAGATCACTGACTCACTTCATCTGTCTTATAGTCTGAGGAAATGCAAATTAGCACAGAACTGCCAACTGACTAGATTTAGTGCAGCCTAGTGGCTACCATCCATTAAAATTACTAAAATCCCAGAACCGCACCAAAGGAGCAAGAAACAAGGGTAAAGAAACCAACTTATTTATTCTAGCTTGTGAAAACGTCATTTGATACTGGATATTGTACATTGTATTTGGGGGAACATTGTTCTCTTCAAGGTCAAGCTTCAAAGATTTCTATAACATGTATCCGAATCAAAGCCTGATGTTCAATGAGTTCCCACTTGATCAACACACTCTTAGAGATCTCAATCGTCATGAAAAAAGTTTAGGTCTCCTCACAGAAAAGTTTGTTCAGCTTCTCAAAGAAGCTCCAGATGGAATTTTGGACCTTAAAATGGTGTGTTTTATATTTACACTTTTGTATTATTTTTATTAGGCAGCAGATTTCTTGGCTGTGAGACAAAAAAGGAGAATATATGATATTACGAATGTTTTGGAAGGTATCGGTCTAATAGAAAAAAGGACCAAAAACAGTATTCAGTGGAAGTAAGTCCATAGACATTATGATGTCTCAATGATAACTCATTTATTCGTACTGAGGTCTCTATTCAGGGAAAAGTTTTAGCGTAGTTGATATTTGGTGGTTAGATTTATAACCTGTATGTTGATGTATCAGATTTTTATTGGTCCTTGTTTTTTACTTGTGTCGTACATGAAGACGTGTTATACAGTTATTATGCTAGTCTCATGTTTGATTTGACTGATACAATCAGTCTACACGTAGTGAAGGTCAGAGCTGTTTATGCCAGTTTGGGCCATCTGTGACGCCGTCATGATGTTAATCTTTCTGTAAACGTTCGAGTTTCTAATGCGTCATTGAGAGCGGTTTTTATTCTATTCTGGTTCAATCTGACTCTTTCAAGCTGAGGATTTTCGGAAGTTCTACGTTCAATCATCATTTTCTCCGAAGAGCTGCTGACTTCTGGTGACAACATGTTAGTAATGCTGTGGTTCAGGAACGTGTCTGAACTCAGTAACGATAATTCGATTAGTGTCACCATCGACTTCAGTAACTTGGATATGTTTCATATATTATCCTAGTGGCTTCCACACCGCACATTGCTTGCTGACTAAGATTGGCCAAAAATGTAGAAGGATGGTCAGTTTATATCATGAAATTGTGATGTGAAATAAATCTGTTTAGGACTGGGGACTGTCAGCCCATCGAAACTCGTCGGTTAGGTCCCGAAGATTGCTCTTCTGGGTGACTTCAGATTTTTTCCAATGTGACTCAAAACGGGAACTAAGAGCCATCCTGTTGTCGTCTGTTACACTCTTCATACAAGAGAAGCAAACTCGCTTAAACGGAAGGAGTCTTTTTTGGTCACATTTTTAGTTGAACTACATCTCATATTGTATACCTTTCTTGTTTATTTATTGAATATCTTTGATTGCATTTCCCTTCCTCCCTTTATTTCTTCACCGTATTATCTCTTTATTTGTATACCACATACTTCTTTGTTATCCAATTACACTAGGATAGGAAGCTTTAGTTGCTCTTTTATGAGACTAGTCTTACACTTTACGGTACGAAAAAACATACAAGTAGTGATTGTGGAAGTAAGAAAAATATCTATCAACTTATTTTATATCGTAAGCCTATCAATCTATATAATTACGTGCATAGTCACCTAGCGACTGTTTATCATTGTAATATTCCATATTTCACAGACATCTATAAGTTTGTTTAATTAGTGTTAAAACTTCTCAAATTTTCCTTCAAAAAAAAAATAGAGGTGGGAGTGCAGCTACAAATGGTCCTGATATTCAAGCTCGTCTCGATGAACTTCAAGCAGAAGTTGAATATTTAGAAAATTTAGAAAAAAAAGTTGATGAACACCGAGGAAAAGTTTTGCAATCATTGAAGAATGTTCAAGAAGATTTAGATAATCTACAATATGCTTATGTTACTCATCAAGATCTGATTAATATTTTTCAAGATCGTACAATGTTGGTAATACGTGCACCACCTGGAACTAGGTTGGAAGCACCTGTACCTGAAAATCCTATGGAACAACCTGTTCAAACGATATTCTCATTGAAGCGTTCATACAAAGTAAGTGTATGTTTTTCAGTTTCACTGTTGATGTTAGTTTGACTCAATTGTTTAGTCAGTTTTTAATTTCAAACTAATAAACCTGCATAACGTAAATAAGTTTGACTGACTAAACTATTACAAATGATGAATACTATAATTTTAAGAGTGTGGAAATATACATTAAACAAATAAACGGAAGACAAGTTTAAATAATATCCCAATGAGTAGAAAAAATTAGACAAATAGGTTTGTTGCTAACTTGGTCTCCTAAAGAATCATTGTCTAATATACTACTGACTTTACAATAGACAAGTCATTGTCTTTGGTTTCAACGTTAGCAAGGGATAAGATTCGTTTCGTAAGAATGTGATTGTTCTTGTCGCCTTTCAGCTAATTGGCTCAGTGAGACATGTATGCAGACGGTGTCGGAAATTGTTACCATAAGAACCCTCAGTGGATGGGTATTTTAATCAAAATAAAAATCATGCCAAACTCTGGTTAAATATTGCAAACATTTCTGAGATAAAACATTTATAAAAAAAACCCGTCTGTTAAAAACATTCCAGCTGATAAATCCAAACGACTTAAGTGATTTTGGGTGGATTTCATTATCTACCACACTGGCTGAAAACTTGGCAGTTTGCTAGCCTCAAACAATTTGAGTTTTCGAATACAGATGAGTTTCTCAGTAAATTTGAGTCACTTGCTTTCCTAAAAACCAATTCTACATACGTTTATTAAAAACTCAAGGTATAGCTGTATGACATTTGAAGAACTTTTTGGTTGCCTATTATTCTTACATTTGTTATTATTCACTTTGTTGATCCTTTGAGATATTTCATTGTCTAGGTTCATGTGAAAAGCTTTACAACACCGATTCACGTTTTGTTGGTAAATCAAGAAGAGGGTAGTGACAAGGCTCGTGTACTTCCGGTACCGGCGACCTCGGATTCTATTGCCCTCTCTCGTCGTCCAACTATAAAACCTGGTAAGTTGTGCTCAAGTTTCCGTAAACTTTTAAAGATTTAAACCCCACTGAAAAATTGAATAGATGCTTTGAGACAACTTTCATCCCGATTTATTTGTCGTCAAATGCCAAGCCTAGTGTTGTTTTTTTGACCTCAACTACACATGTTTAACTGTCTCCTAATTCACAACCGACAAGCTATCTTAGGTAGTAATTTGTGGCTTGTTTTGGAATGCCAGTAGGTTTCATTCCTTCCAGTCATATACAGCTTAAATTACAAACCCTGAGGAAAATTTTTCAGGACATGTACAAATGAAATATTCACTCTCTCTCATTATTTGATAAACAGTAGAGGATAAACAAAACCAGCCAATTGTTTACTCGCTGTTTGAATAATTCTGCGTTGATATTCCGCAGCTTTCTTTCATCACACCTCTGTACCAGAAGTCATTGCACTTCTCAGTCATAGACTATGAAGTATTAATAGCTAATCAACCGACATTTAAAAGCATTTTACTCTTTCGCAGGTTCCTGTTTAATACCCTATGTCGCGTCAAGTCGTTATGAAAGCTAGTAATATAAACACTATATTAACCAAACTGATACTTTCACGGCTATTGCAAGAGGGTTTCTGTCTTCTTATAAACTGGGTCAATTAGCTACTTAAGTCAGACCGATGGGATTGTGCACGGCTCTCAACCTTCAGAAAGTATTTATGTTAAATTAACTGCTAGGGCTGAAAAACCAACCTTAAGGACCTCTGACAATAACCAATGTTTTTACTGCACTTCCTCACTTCAAATGACATGAATGTCTGAAGAAAACACCTTACAACCAGTAGTACAACTTTCCTCTCAAGCCTTAAGTTGCTACTGATCTTCAACCGATATGACTGGTAATAGTAAGACCTGTGATCATCACACCAAGAAGGCTTAGACCTAGGCAGTGTAAGAACCACAGCTGCGAAAAAACTAAGAAACAAAATATACATACCATAAAATGTGTCATAATATTGTCATTTGTGTCTTAAAGGTATCTTTCCTTTTTTTCAGAGGAAAATGCGTTCGTGAGCCCATTATTACCCCTTAGTCCACCACCTAGCGAATGTGATTTTAACTACAGTCTGGATGATACCGAAGGTGTCTGCGATTTGTTTGATATACCTGTTGTTCCTACATCCACTAACTAACTGTACTATTTTGTTAAAAGAATGAAGCTTATATAAATCTGTAAAAAGTTTATTGTCATTTTCTCAGTAAACAATTGGAGTAGACTGGTTCGGCAAGATACCAAACCTTAGTTTCAAAGTTATCCGATGCCTTGAATAACGATCCTCAGGAGTGAAACGTGCAGGATGTGCACTGAATGTTGGCTTGTTCTCAGGATCGAACGACTGAAAATGAAGGAAATTATAATTACGAAGTTAGAATAATGGTGCATTTTAAAACAGATATGGCAACTGGAATAACATAACTTTCATTTAACCAGAAACTAAGCTTCTCGACAGACAAAATGAGCACAGAGACCGTGGAAAGCAGCGATTATCTTAAATTTGCTCACCTAAAACAGGTTTAGATATACAAGGTAATGTCTAGTTTGTGTTTTTCAGCCACCTCAAGATTTCCGAGGTTTATACTTTGGTGATATTAACCCTGAAAACATCTTATATAAGCTAAATTGCGAGTAATTATTATTTATTTCTAGCTAGCTTATAACCGTAGACACACTTCCCGATGACATTGTTGCGAAAAGTTCAATCGATGGCATTTAAAGTATACTCTATGACAGTGTCATAATGATAAAGGTCAAACTTTTGATTGCCAATTAAGTATTTGTGTATTCAACTACTCAAGGTTCAGTGTGTCTGAACCCCAACGAAAAGATTACCTAACCTCGATTTCAGGGTTTCAGAATCACCAATTAGGTGTCAGCGTACTCAAGATTATTGCTCTGATTTGTTAGTTTTAGGACAAGTCAATATCACTAGAAATTAACACGTTATGGAACCACGAAACAGGTCATATAGTGAGAGTGAAACCCTGTGAGGAAGCATGAGCGAGAATACTTAGGAAAACCGTCTGATGATAAATAGTTTGTGTAAGGAAACAACCAAGACAGATTACTTACTTACGCCTGTTACGCCCCCCCCCCCCCAACGGAGCATAGGCTGCCCACCGGTTTTCTCCAACTAACTCTGTCCTGCGCTTCTCTTTCCAGTTGTCCAATTTTTGTTCATTCTTCTCATATCTTTCTCTATTTCTCGGCGTAATGTGTTCTTCGGCCTTCCTCTTTTCCTTTAACACTAAGGATTCCAGGTGAGGGCTTGTCTTGTGCCGTTCGTTGTGTATCTTATCCACTTCCGCCGCTTCTTCCTGATTTCCTCCTCCACTGGAATCTGGTTTGTTCTCTCCTGCAGTACGTTGGTGCTGATGGTGTCTGACAAACGAATCCAAAGTATTTTGCGTAGACAACTGTTAATAAACACTTGTATCTTCTTGATGATGGCTTTGGTAGTTCTCCAAGTTTCCGCTCCATACAGTAGAACTGTCTTGGCATTCGAAGAAGCCTCCACAGTGTTTTCCTATCCACGCTATCGAATGCCTTCTCGTAGTCGATGAAGTTGATGTAGAGTGGTAAGTCCCATTCAATCGATTGTTCCACAATGATCCGTAATGTAGCAATTTGGTCAGTACACGATCGATCCTTACGAAACCCAGCCTGTTGATCTCGAAGTTGGGCGTCTACGAAGTCTTTCATTCTGTCTAACAATACTCTGTTGAAGACTTTGCCTGGTATTGAAAGAAGAGTGATGCCTCTGTAGTTCTCACACTTGCTCAGGTCGCCTTTCTTTGGTATTTTGATCAGGTATCCTTCTTTCCAATCTGATGGTACTTGTTCTTCATCTCAAATCTTCTTGAAGAGGATGTGAAATATTTTCGCAGTTGCTTCTACATCTGATTTCAATCACTCTGCTGGAATGTTGTCTGGTCCTGCTGCTTTGCCACTCTTGATTTGTCTGATGGCCATACTGATCTCCTCAATCGTAGGTGCGCCAATATTAATTGGGAGGTCCGTGGATGCTGCTTCGATGTTGGGTGTGTTCAGTGGACCTGTCGATTCAGGAGTTCCTTAAAGTGCTCTACCCACCTATTTCGCTGTTCTTCAGTGTTGCTGATTACTTTGCCTTCCTTGCATTTTACTGGTCGTTCTGGTTTACGATAGTTTCCGGCGAGCTTCTTTGTTGTTTTGTACAATTGAACCAAGACAGATGCAGCTCATTAAATAGCGACATATGTACCCAGCTTCGATCCACACTTTAGGTGTGTTTCACGATACTACCTAGCCACCCAAACTTAAACAGGTGCAGCTGGACTCAAACCTGCGACCTAGTAGTTGAAAGTCGAACGTCTTAGCTACAGGTTACTGCTAGAAGTAACTCAATATAGATGGACAAACCATAAGGCCGAAATTTGCCACCGGAATAAGGAGTAATCAGGAAGTCAGTTTGAGCAAGTACAAAACCAAAACACATTCTGTTGAACTAGTAAGTCTGATTCATAGTTATTGAGTCAAGTCGCCAAGAGATGTGACGATCTGATAGATACTAGCCCAACACCTCTAGCCCATATTACAAAGAGCCACCTAAGATGACTATTCATATTTCTTCCATCCGGAGTTCGTGATAACTGTTTATGTTTGGTGGAACCACAAAACTAGTAGCTCTAAAGTTAGGCATTGGATACTCGGGAGCGTTGATAAATCGATTGACATGGCCGAAAACTAGTTGATTCATATAGTTAGAACAATGCTTTGTGGTATACCAGATTAGAACACTATGAGCAGTGAGAATAAGGTGTCAGAAGTCCATGGAATCATTAACTGTAGATCTAAATTATGTGAAGAATGCAGTTTACCCAGTTCGCGATAGAATGATAATGGACTAAAGTAACCCATTAGTAAACCACAGATTTGTACACTCGTATTTAAGCCCCACTACACGTAACAATAGATAAAATTTTAAAGTCAACTAAACAGAAATAGAAAGAGTGAGGTTTGGTTTCTCGTAATCTACCATAGGAACATGAGGTGTTGTAAAGACATGTACGTAATAATTGACAACATCCACCTGTGTCAGCAAAATCGAAAACTAATTACATTCCTGTGTGAGAATTAGTCCCCTAGGGGAAAACTACAGTACTCATTTTGCATTCAGGTTCAAGCAACGTTAGACCTGTTCCAAATAATCATAGCTACGCTGACGAAGTGTCATAAAAATGCAGAGATTAAGTGGTATAGATAGGAAAAGGGAATTAGACGAGAACATCACTGTAGATGAATCAGATCAGTGACAAAGATCATAAGAATTTTGTCACTGCTTTAAATACGAAATATGGTGGGAACAAGGTTTCCGGTCAATATTCAGAGACAAATATAACGAGAAATCCTAGGCTCTTCATATCCTACCATGAACAACTATGAAAAATTAAGTTTTACATATGATTTATTCTTTTTAAAGGTGTTTAGTTTTATCGATATGTTTTGCAATTACCTATTAACTAGATGGACTCAAGCAAGAAACAAAGTAAACTTAAAGCACTTTCTTAGTAGTTTGACAAATGCAGTTTACTTAAACTCACTTTCAGTGTATACACCCTGTCTCCATTACGATCCAAATAGTAGCGTAGAAGCATGTGTAACGTGTTATCAGCAGTCACCAAACAGCGGATCAAATCTAAAATTGCAACACACAGAGTTAGCTTAACACTTCACACCAAGAGAGAACACGAAGTACGGCCACGGCACTCTTTTATTTTTAAATTAAAATTACACTGGGTTTTTACAGCAAAGGGATGGCTAGTTTACCAAGTCTTATGAGTCAACCTGTAGGTTTATAGGATTCAGGGCTTGCTCTTCGGCTTCCAAAGCGTTTATATTTGGTCGCCCTGTGATAGAAAGAAAAGGGAACGAATTAGCAAACCATACATAGCGATCTTGAATCCGTTACACATGGTTTTGACAGTAACCGCGCCAACTATACAATTATCAATATTTCATTGGTAATGGATGGAATAGAAATTTAATGAACTTCTGTATTTAGTAGCAATGAATCACCAATGCCTCCAGGTAGGAACCTAGAAATATTTGACGAGTTAAAAGGTAATATTAGTAAATAACAATGAAATACCTTTCCGAGTCCTCAAGAGTATGTCAAGTTTCTTATTGAAGGACTCCTAAGAAGTTGCTTTGACTACCTCAGTCGGTAGCGAACTCCAGAAATCATCTACTTGTATAGATTAGAAAGTGTGCCTTTAGTCCATTTTGTTACGTTCTGCCTTTAGTTTCTAAGTATTTCCCCTGAGGTTTGTGATGAGACTGCTCTCAAGTATGCTGTTTTTAAAGTTTATCTAACAATCACCAAACGAAACATTGTTTCATGTTGGGCTTCGTGATTATTATATTTTGAAATTTCAAGCAAAGAAACCGGTCTTCTTTATCTATCATTTTGGATTTCCGAAGCTTTTTCATTTTAGTGCGGTAGCATTCATGAAAATAACAATAATCATCATTTTAAACGTTGGCATACTCAGAGAAAGTAGTTATTATCTATGTGAATATCATAATAATAGCTGTCTTTCTGCTTTGATATACATCACACAATTCCCTATACATTCATGTAATACATACTTTGTTGCCTTGACTCCTCGTAGAAACGTATTATGCGACATTCAGGTGAACTTCAGGAAGTTTCAAATAAGAATGAGCAATCAAAACCTTGAGAATACATTTGACGTCTAAGATGTTCCGTAACATCCAAACATCGCTGATACGGAAGTTCATTACCCACTCTAGATGGGCTTTTAGAACATATTGATTTATTGAGAAAGTTCATCAATTCGTATCTTTCTTATAAGAACCCCCCTAAGTTGTGAATGAAACAGTACAAGAAAATCCTGCTTAGTACTCAATTATAAAGGCTGAAATATATATGAGAAACAAAACTGGACTTCTGCGATAGACTAGCCTCCACATGAATGTTGCCAGCTACACCTAGTTCAGTAATGAGATTAACGTCACTACAATCGACATATATGCACTAACTAGCTCTCCAGATTTGATAGGGCAATTCCATTGTGGTGCGCGCTACTTATAAGTAGTATATGAGGTGAGTGTCAACGTAATGTCTGGCAGCAGAAGATGGGGAAAGATCAAGAAAGGAAGAGTGGGAACACAATGGAATTTG